TAAAATGTAGGCTATGTATGTCTGCTTGGGGCTTCCATAATTGAAGTTTATGGAAATTAAATGTATTGTTTCAAAACGTGTTCAGTGTACTGGGAAAAGTGATGCTATAACTTTCTTTACCGCCTGTCAGTGAATCGCAAACATTCAAGCCGCCGTCTGTGCAGTTGCAGGGCCTGCAGCTGCTTCCAGGCACCTCTGGGTTGCCATAGTAACCAAACGAGCATCTTAAAGAGTGTAAAACAAAAAGAAAAAGGCTGTTGTGGGGCTTTGATATTTAGGATGAAACAGTTCTGTGCATTGAGAATGATAATGAAATTTAAAAAAATGTGTCACACACCTCTCACACCTGGCTCCACTGTATCCACGTTTACACAAACACTCAACCACACCTGAGCCGATGTCCAGACAGGCCAACGCAAAACTACAGAGACAGGCAGAATATTTTTACACAGAATCAGAAAAAGATTTGTTTGTTAAACTGAGCTAAAAAAAAAAAAAAGAGGCTGACTTGTTCCGTGGAAAAGGGCACGGACATTCCCTGCAGGTCCTGTTGGCTGCGTTCCCATAGAAACCATCTTTACAGCGTTCACAGCGCCCCCCAGAGGTGTTGGACTGACAGTTCTAGAGGTTGATGAAATCGAAAACAGCGTGAACCCATATGTTTTTTGTTCAGACCTAACAAAACTTTTACAAGAGGTCACCAGCCTCTGGAAAATATATGTTATTGTAGAAAAATTAAGAAAAAACGTTTTTTTTTAATTATGAGAGCTAGTCTACACCAACTTACTTTTCACAAAAATCAAACATTTGTTTCAGATTTTAACCTTTTGATTTAAAAGAGCCTGAAAAGTAGGCTAATTGATCGTAAATACTTTGCTTTATTGGTAAACTCTCTAATAATTTCTCAATCCCAACTTTTAGTTGACTTCAACAAAAATGTGTGTGTGTGTGTGTGTGTGTGTGTGTGTGTGTGTGTGTGTGTGTGTGTGTGTGTGTGTGTGTGTGTGTGTGTGTGTGTAAACCAACCACACAGTCCCCTGTTTGCTCATCACACTGATCAGAGAGGCCGTTGCAGTCACACGGCACACACTGTCCTCGGTGTGGACCAACAGTCTCTCTGTAGAAACCTGAGCTGCACTTTAAAAAATAAACAGAGAGGGATAAACAGTGGACCTTCAGAACCTGTAATACAGGTGTATTTATCTATAGGAAACATAAATATAGTTTTAGCCTACATTACAAGGTATGGTGGCCCGGAATGTCAACTTTACAAATATCTTAATGATTGCTAAAAAAAGAAAAAAAGCAGGCCACTGACTGTATTTTTTTTTATACCTCATTACTTTCAGAAGGTGAAAAATATTTCACAAGTGACATTTTTTCGCAGAAGGTGAATGTTTTTCAAGTAAGCAAAACATTTTTCAGGAAATATTTTTTACTTTTTATGCATTATATTAAATATTTTTGCATTAAGTGGATTACTTTTGGTGTCTGGTAAAGTGTTTTTTGCAATCATGAAATATTTGTATTACTTACCCTTTAGGGCCTCCTTTAAAGTTTTTAATTTATTGTAAAAAAAGGTGGAAATGGATGAAGACAACAAGAAATACTTAGATTAAATCTTAAGAGATTGTGTTACCTTGTTGCAGAACAGCTGATATTAGGATCCACATAATTGGATTGAAACATGTAATTCGTTGAGTATTTTGTTATTTAAATCTATATATTTGTGTTTCTCTAATAAAATTGGCATCATTGATGGTACTGCATTTTTTTCTCCATTTAAAGTCACAGTGAACTGAACCTCAGAAAGCATTTAATCATGTTTGAACAAATAGATGAATCAAGAAGTCTCCCCCACCGGAGGGGCATCCTTGACATAACTTTATCATGTTTGTATCACTGGATTACCATTTCTACACTAGAAGGGCACTGCATGGTGTTTTCTTTAATAAGAAGGAATCCTAAAGGCTGCTTAATGTATGTTCCTCACTCCCCAAGTTTAGTTTTTGCCATTTCCTGTTTTATTTTGTAGTTTTTGCCCCATGTGCTTCATATTTAGTTTTGCTCATGTTTCCATGTGAATGTGTACCCAACCCTGATCGTTTAGTTTCACCTGTGTCTGATCACCGCAATGTATTTAGTCTCTGTGTTCTTTCCCCTCTGTGGCAGTTCATTACGTCCTATACCTGTCAGTGTCTTTAAGTGGATTTTGTATTTTTTCCTCCTAGTGCCATCATCTCCTCACTGACAGAAATTTTAAAACAAAAAGGTAAAAAACGTAATCTGCATTACCTGATTTCCACCTGCATTGCTGAAAAAAGGATCACAGAACTTCCTTGTGCTGTGAGTCTTCTGATGAATCTCATGAAGTCTTTCAGGCATGTGCCTACATTTTTTATTTTTTTCAGAAAGACAAACACGAGGCAAGCAAAGAATAAACAACAGGAATGTTTTCCTCTGCATCATAACCTGTTCAGGAAGACAAGTGAGCGTAATGATGGAAAAAGTCTCCCTCTCTTTCAGGCAGCTCCTCCTCCTCACTGGTCAACTCAGGAGCAGGTGAACCTTGGAGCTGTTCATGTGTGAGATGCTTAAAGAAAAGCAAGACGACATAAATCCATGAATGCAGTGTGTTGATATGTGAGGGCTGATGCAGAGTTGGGGTTCAAGGTTCAACAAGGTGTGGCTGCAGCTGCAGACAGGTCCGGAGTGTAAATGTGTGAGCTGTGTTTGGTTGAACAATGCAACGTGCAGAGCAAGTGACAAATACACAAGAAAATGTTCATCATTTTATTCCAATGTAGTTTAAGGTAGAAAACAATGCAAGAATATGCAACAAGAAAAAAAGAAATATTGACTTGTATTTAAAATACAGAGCACCTTTTTTTGTGTATCGGTCAAACAGAGATCAAAGTAGAGGGTGAAACACTGAGGATTTTAATGTGTTTTCCCCTCCAACCCTCTAAATAAGACATTTATTCTCTGTCCACCAAGAAAAACAAACATTCCTGTAAGAAAATACAAAGGTTTTGCAGTCATAAGAAGACATTTTTTCATTTAGTATCTGCAGACTGTAAGTTATTTGTTTAAAATTAAAAAGTTGTTATCATATTATACTTTTATATTCTGGGTCATTACTCTTATTAACCTCCAGATTCTGACCCTTTTTCTTTCATTTTCTGGCTTCATGATTGAAAAGCAACAAAAAAGAGATATCGCAAACATGTTTTTTATCACAAAATGTGTTTTGATCTCTCTCTGGACATTCACTTGTCTTTGTTGATGCTTTGCAATAGGAAACAGGTCAATTAAAACAGCTGTCAGAATCTCGACATTCATATGACTCACAACCTGGAATATAAAAATATACTGTCACAACATTTGAGTTCTCCCTGATTGGACCTCCCAAGAACATGACCACAGTATAGTCTATGCTCCCTGATTTATAGAATGAAATGTGACGTTTTAAAATTCAATGTGATTGGATAATGGTGATGTTTTGAAGCAAGATTTTGTAACATGTTGAAGAGCAGAAACTGTGGCTTTAAGTGACTACTCTTGTTTTGTTTTAATGACTCTTTTGTTTTATTGAATAAGGAAAAAAGTTTAAAACAGATTAATTTGTACCATGGACTGCTGTCTCTTAACTGAAGGGTCTGTGAAGAAGTTTATAGACGAGGTGAAACAAAACCAGACTGAGCTCAAATTGGCTTCTTTCTCCTTTTTAGACAGGGACACCCTAAAAAATGTATTAGTGCCCAACGGTTTATACACGAGTATTTGAGCATAAACTTTGATCTTTTCCTTTTGTTTGATTAAGTTTAGGAATCAAGATACTTTGTTCATGAAAATGTCATGGTTTGGGTTTAAGAGATAGATCATCACTGCATTGTGGTTGCACAGGGGGCCCAGCAGATTCCTCTGTAAAAGAAAATACGCCTCTCAGCGACGGTCACTGAGTTCACATCAGGACGCATCACTTTGTCCTGCTAAACTGTCATATACCTGGGAACCATGACCTGTTATAAGATCACCAGTGGATTATTTACAGTGCAACAAAGTCAGCATGGTAAATACAGCCAGCGTCACAGTTCAAAGTTTAACTCAAATGATATGTGGCTTAATCACTTCCCCCCAAGCAAATGCATGAGCCGTTTACCTGATTAGTTCAACCTTTTTGAATAAAGCTGTGAACCACACTTCATTAACAGCTTTTTTTGCTCTGGCAGTGCCTACAACCTACTTATTCTGTTGCTAGGTTATGAAATTGAACTTCTACGTCCCTTGGTAATTACTGTTAGCTCCTTGTGCTTAATCTCACCCTATATTGAAATACATATCACAAAGGAAACGTGAAAACAATGTAAACGAATCCCTCAAAAAGACGAGTCAAATTACTTTCTCCCCTATCATTGTTGTTAACGAGGCTGATTTCAGAAGTCCCACTCTCTTGATTTTGATTGATCAGTACTGTAGAAGTGACATTGATGAGCGCTGTGTTGTTCTAAAAGTTGAGCTAGTGCTGTGAAAACAGCTGATGCTGAGGGTGTTTTTACACTCAGGATGCTGAGCGTTGAAAACGCTGAACTTGAATTTAAAATAGGCGCTGGCAGCGCAAAAAACGGCTTTAATGGACACAGGCCCTTATGGGAGAATGCTACATGCTGTTTAGCATTTTGCTGGATTGCTAAGCGTGTCGTATGGTACCACACGAGGAGAAGAGTCCTAAAGTAAAGAGAAGTCTTTCCGTAATGTCTGCTATAGACAACTACACGTTTGGTAACATTACCTTCAGTTAGCCACAGAAACCTGCATGTCATACCGGACCAAGACAGAAAAAACAAGCTAATCAACCTTTTAAGCTTTTTTTTGTTTTGTTTTCAAGGAGAAATGTGTTTCTGCTTCTGTCCAAAGTAAGATGATTTTTATTTACTTTAAGTGTTGCCACAGAGCAGGGTGTATTGAGACTACATCCCTGAGAGAAGCACTGAGTTCACTGTTAATGGCTGATATGAGTCTTTGAACGTACATTACAGTATGAGAAAGATTGAGCAGGGGGTTCAGAAAATATGTGAGACAGGAATGCTTCAGAGATGTCGAGGACTGAAACAGGTTGACCTGATGTCAGTCCAACGGAGGAGTTAGCATTAGCGCTCAGAATCACAGAACAGGAAATAAAGCGTAGCTCGCGATGCCACACGAGTTGGAGCCGTCTCGGATCATTCGCATGAAGCCACCTTCACCCCAACTTGAACCCCAACTAAAAAGAAAATAACAGAGACTCATCTTAAAACAAAACACAAGAAACACTTGAAAAGGTGATGTATTGCCAGTAATGTCTTCAGTTTATCCAATGCTTTTCTACGTATGGAGGATTAATCTGACCTGTTTTTGATGATCCAGTAGTCCTTGCCTCCTTCAGAGCCATATCCGACCAGCAGCACGGCATGACTAAGATTGTTCGGGTTACAGTTCGGTTCTTCATAAATTCCTGCAAAGGAAATTTCATCCTGCTTTCAGTGTTTTGCCACCTTGAGGTGGGTACACAGTCGCCCTTTTCAAAATGAAATTGCACAACAATACCATATTTGCCTCACTGTCATCACGCCTTAACACATTCATATTGATTCCGCAACGGCATAGTCTGTGAATTCAAATTGCCTGATAAGGCGTTGCGGAAGCACAAGAGAGCACAGCACAGCATTAGCTCCACATACACACTTAGTCAGACTTGCGCACACACAGAGCACTGTTTTGGGTGCAAGGAAAACATAGAGTATTGATAACAGGTTCCAGAGTGATTTTTTTTTAAAACGGTTTAAGTCATCGTGTAAATCGTCAATATGCAGTTCCTCTGAAAACAGACTTTATGCATAATGGTTTGTGAAAATGTCAACTGGCATGACTCCCAATGGCGTTAGCTATTTCTGTATGTTTACAACATACAACGCACATATTTGCAGATCCATGTTCAGAACAGAGTACTTTTGAATAAATTACCTGAGCTGTAAAACAGGAAGCTTGAATGATCTGCATCAAGAGCCACTGTGATTGGCCCGATCGTTGCCACGGCATCAGCCAGAGCCTGCTCATCTCCTTTAGGGATGAACCTGTAGTCTTTGATGTGAGCGACTGCGAGCCTGCTGTCGTAGTAGCATGGCTGAGTATCCTGCGGAAATAAACACACAGTTTTATTGGCAGGCTGGTCACTGAATGAGGAATTGTTCATCCATCCTGAAATATCAGGGACAGCAGGTTAAGCCTCACCACGGAGGTGTATGGGTACGTGCTCGTTGACTGCAGCCCGTTGTTGACCACGTAGTCGTAGGCGTTGGCCATCCAAGCGCCGCTGCAGCCGTAGGTACCGTAAGATTTGGAGCAGTCCACCAGGTTCTGTTCACTCAGAGAAATGAGCTGACCTGTCCTCTTGTATATTTGTCCCTCGATGGCTCCTGTAGTGCTGAAGGCCCAGCAGGAGCCGCAGTAACCCTGAAAGGAACAGTTCAAACATAATATGAAGGTGTCCACGACTCGGACAGGTTGAAACAAACTCACGGTGGAGATTCTCACCTGGTCCTTCACCTCGGTCACATAACCCAACTGCCTGTAGTCCACAAACCAGCTGTCAAACATCTTGGCATTGTTACGAAGCTTTCGGGCTGAGGCGGTCTTCCCTCTCTTCACAAACTGAGTGTCGATCACAGCACCCTGCAGCACCTGGTACTCCTGTCTGGTCTACAAAGGTGGGTTAAGTACATCACTTTCTGTTAGTTCATGGATAATTTTGTCAATCAATGAATCAAAAATCATCCCTTTTTTAAATTCAACTGCAGGACTACAACTACTTTCACCAGTTTCTCCTCTTTTTCCACAAACCAGGAGTACCACACATTCCTTCAACTCAACGCCATATTTACTAGTTTGCAGCTTCCTGTTTGGTGATGGCGCGAGACCACTGTTCCCACATGGGTGAGATAGGACTGCCTAAAACCAGCTTGTATTGAGTTTGTATGACCACCTTAAACCAAACAATAAACATCATAGCGTGCACCAACTCTAGGAAAACTCTCGTGATTTTATTCCTACTCATGCTTTCATTCCAAAATTTGTGACTTTGAAATCACTTGAAAAGTAATTTGGTGTAAGAGCAGCATGACCAACCAACATCTTTTTTTTCTTCAGTTTTATCTCTTGCCAGCGTTAGTCACTCATCAGTGTGAGGCGTCTCAAGTTCATCAACAGGCCTACTTGATGTTTACAGTCAGTAGGATTTGATGATGACAAAAAACCTTTAAATTCATTTTTAAAACATTTGAAATGCAGCTCTATGTCAGGTTCAGTTGAGGTTGCAGTTCTCCATATTTACCAGGTCTCCATATTTATTCATGATCATGGTGAACGGCCTCCTGCCCATAAAGAAGCCCTGATTATTGTCCTCAATGATCCGTTTGTTCTCCTCCCAGATGACTCTCCTCTGCATGTCATCCTGCACGTTAACACACAACAAATCACACTGACTTACATCATGTATTCACTCTGATGTTGTGGCTTTTTATTTCACATAGATAGAGTCAGTCTGACCAGTTCATCATAGCTGATCCCGTTTCTCAGCTTCCAGATCTCCCACTCAGTCAGGACGGCCTCGTCTGAGTCTGACGCCCCCCCCTGGGGGCCGAGCAGCAGGATGTAGAGCAGAGCTGCTCTCAGCAGGAGGCTGGCCTGCTGGGCTAAGAGGAGTCAAACCATCAGTTTGTACCTCAATGAATGTGGTATTAAGTCTGTATCAAAGCATAATCCTCTAACTCCCTGATATATTCATATTTGAGTGTTAGTGTATCTATCTCTTTGGACATCCATTTTCAAACGTTTGTGTTTAAGAAATTAGACAAAAACAATTGTTTGAAATACAGTTTTTGCAGTAAAGTCAACGTGTCAACATGTCAACATGTCAACATGACTATGTGCTGAAAGTTAAAAAAAAAATACTATTATTATGACTTAAAATGTAAGATATAAAAACAAGCAACATGTTTGATGTCTTTTATGCTGTAAGTACTAAATGATGTCGGTTTATCAGGACACAAATTATATTCAGTTCAGGAAACTAAAATTTGTTTAATTTAGCCAAAGTTTTTCTCTCATAACAGATCTGAAACCAAACACACTGTTTTTAAATCATCTCCAGCATTTAAAACAATGACGTTCTTGTTGTTTAATTGTATAGTAAAGATAAAATAATCCCTCTTGTCCATCTTACCTGTATGTGTGTGCTTCTGATTTGTTCCCATGTTCTGAGATTCCCTCTCAGACCGAGCATCCAGCCTCCTTTTATAGTTTCTCAGCAGCTTCCTCTATATTTTACTGAATCCCTAAATCAACACGTCTGCACACAGCTGAGCAGGACATTAGTCAACAAAAATAAGATGCTTTCGCTGCTCCTCCTCAATAATACCTCCATAATCACTCACAGAGAGCTAAAGCTGCAATATTGTTAATCCTTCAAATACGGGTTTATAATCCACCAATAACACCTGACATCAAACTCTCCAAATCAGGACTGGAGCAGGTACACACAACACCTTTTATATATAGATAAGAGCCAGCACATTAATGCATAAATAGACATGCATTTAAATCCTGCTCAAGCTAAAAGTAAAGAAGTATTATCAGCGGGAAAAGTAAAAGTTCTGATTCTGAAGAAAGTCTCCTGTGACTCATGTCTGATTCTTACTTTGTTAACACATTCATGTTGGAGCTGCATTCAGAGCATTCAGACTTTGAACTGTAGCCTATTTAAACAATCTAAACACATTTTTAGTTGAGACTATATTTTTATGTTTGCTGGATGTGTCATTTCTTACATCCAACAAATAAAACTATTATTAATACTAATTCGCCATAAATAAATTTAGAAAACAAGCAACTTATATCAGTTCTCTAAATATGTTGAAGTTGCTGAATACACAATTAGTGAAGTCTGCACATGAGTATTCTTCTCTTACAAAGGGGCAGCTGACAAATCTTTAATGTAATTCAAAATAAAAGGTAAAAGTATGTCTTATTTGTACTTACTGACTGCTTGGTAACAGCCTGATGTGTGGGTTTATAAGGAGTGGATAAAATGTGGACTTTTGGTCTGTTATAATGTTATCTTCCTGAGTTCCTGTCTTTACTTTGTCCATTAAAGCACTTTGTAAACATCTGGTTAAGATGGTGCTATATATAAAATAAAGTTATTATTATTATTGTTTGCCCGTTATGTCATTTGACGCTGATGGATGAAGACGCTAATCATAATCATAATGATGATGTGGAAGTAAAGGGTCACACGTAACTATGGCATGAATAACCTGCTGGAATAGAAAGACAGATTTAAAGAAGACAGCAGCAAACATTAGCTAACAAAGAGGGGGCAGAGCAGAGCTACAGATGTGACCAGGTGATGTTAACAGCTGATGATTACAGGAGAATAAGTGAGCATGAGTGCATGGGACAGTGTGAGAATGAACAATAAAACCAAAATGCAGAATATAGTCTTCCTGACTGAACTTCACAAGAGCTACATTTAACAGATGCATGTGTTGTGGTCTGACGTTGAGGCTGGGGAGATGACTCCTTTTCTCTGATCTTCAGATTTTGATAAAGTGGATGATTTTATTTTTGTGTGTTGTATGTTTTATGTTTAAGTGCAAAACTATGTGAGGACAATGAGTCATCTCTAGAAGAGGAGCAAAACTGATGAGCAACTGAAGTGCAGAAAAATGTTTCTACTGAAGTGTTAAATCCTAACATGTTAATTCATGCAGAATAAGCATGCTATACACGTCTGAATTTCTATGGTGGGCTGACGATTTTACACCTCAATCGGTTTTACATTTTTCTTTCTTGCTAATTGTTTTCTTCTCTCTATTTAAACTTTAAAATCCTCCTGTGGAAAAGTGTTTTAATATTTTGCAACTCCCTAGAGCGCATGCTTGTGCATACTTATATTATTTAATATAAACTAATATAGTTACAAAAAGACCTTGAACTTAACGAGCTGCTCTCATTGGATGACTTTAAGAGGATGTTAAATGACTTGGAGGCAGACACATCAGGCTGCAGATGTTCTAACAGGTATATGTATGACTTTGGGCAATCTTGAGAAATATTTGCTGGTTGAATTTGTTGTTTTGTGTCTTTTATTGTTTAATAATAATGTATTTTGTATTATATTTGTATTTATGCTCAGGGTTGATTCTCACTTTGTTAACTGTGCTGCTGACTGTCTCAGGCAGGACACTCTTGGGAAATAGTTATAATTTTTTAATGTAAACAAGGTTTTTCTGCTTAAATAAAGATTAAATTAAACATTTGTAAAAAAAAATCAATAATAATAATAATGCATTTAATTTGTAATTGCTGTAGGTTATGGTTATTTACTTTAGTTACAAACTACATAAACTACCTTTTGGGCCTAGAACTGTTAATACATTTAAACCATGTGTACATTTTTCAAATGCAATTCACTTTTCTGCGGAGCTACAAACTACAAAGTATGTTAAAGCAAAAAATAATTACAAACGAGAGTCTGGAGTGCTCGGAAGTTCAAACAAAGTTGTGAAGGAGCTCTGTGGGGAAACAAAAATTCCAAAATGTAAAAAAAAAACAAAAACAAAAACAAGGACATTCTGAAAGCCGCTACCCATGGGTTTTTACCCAGCTTTTTGATGGCCTGTCAATGTTTTTAACAGTTCCGTGATGAAATAGCCAATTTATGGAGTTTCACCTTTTTGAACAAGTATGTTGTTGACTCGACTGCTGATCTAAAATGAAAAAAATGGCCCAATGACACATTTCAGGTTTACACCAGACATTGCAGTAAAAAAAGAAAAAAATTGAATATGTGTATAATATTATTATGTTTTATCTCAAGTGTCCAGTCATCACAGCAGTCTCTAGATTTATAAACATTTTTCCTCTGCTCCATCCCGCGGCATCCAGCTGAGTGACTGTATGTTAGAGCTCTTCAGCGCCCCCCAGCGGCCCGCTCTGGTCCCCCGTGCAGCTGTGACTGCAGAGGATGAGCTCAGCTGACTTTCTGTCTGTTATTATGTCCGCGATCCGCCAACACCCAGACTCGTCTCTGCAGACCACCAGCTCATTTAATGACCGCGTGCACAGGAGGAACATGAGTCACCTGTGAGCTCTGCAGGATGTCTTTTAAGGTAAATCATGTTTTTCTGTCCTCAGCTCCTTCAGGCTGCAGACAGGGCCTCAATGAGACATGAGATTACAGCCGCTTCCTCCTGCAGTCTGCAGCTCCTCATCCTCAGGTTTATTTACGACGAGGTGGATTTAACTGCAAGAAACCGAAGCAGGATTAAATGTGATGTTTATCGACTTAAATGCTATTTTTTTCAGTCTGGCACTCTATGCACGTGCAGATATAATCAGCTATAATGTAATCGCACTGAGAGTCCTCACATTAGAGTCATTCAGATCACTATAATCCTTTCTTATATAGAGGTGTTTGTTGGATGATTGATCACCTGTCACACCTGATCAGACACTCTGAGCTGTTTACTGTGACTGCGTGTAAGACTATAATGGTGGTGTGAGGTCAGAGGCTGTTGTGTGTATTTATTTACCCTGCAGAAGGACACACCCCTGTCTAATGCTGTGTTTTGGGCAGCAAGGAAGGGGAACCTGGCACTCCTGCAGCTGCTGCTGAACAGCGGCCGAGTGGACGCAGACTGCAGAGACAGTGTACGGATGCCCTGCATGTCCTGGCCGCTTCGCTGCACGCTTTCCCCATAACTCGCCTGTGGTAGGGAGACAGAGTGACTTACCTCTGTGCTGCATGTGTGTATGTGTCATCTCAGCTTCACATTTATGTTTTTTTTCCATAAAATGTGAAGGATTCATGTGTTTAGTCTGCAGAAATCAGCCTTTTCATCCCACATGTTTTAATTACTTTTGGCTGAGTTACCACTGCAGGAGCTTTTCCCAGGGAACAGTAACTTTAAGAGGTACTCTGTGCATTTCCACTGCAGGGACTTTCTAAATTAAACATCAGGGTGTTCATTTTTACTCTTGAAAAGGTCCCTACTCCAGAAGTAGTGCTTTCTGAAAGTGCAGGGACCTTCGGGTGGTACTAGCAGGTACTAGCAGTATTTATAATATGGATCGGCAGGGCTGAAAGTACTTTAAAATGCTTGCCAGTACTACAACACAAACTGTCACTTAATATTGTTCAACTCTCCTTGGCTAAATGCATCCTTGAAACAAACATTTCAATATTCGAACACCTGTATGAAGTAAAGAAAGGTGCAATGAGTTACACAGCAATACCTGATGGTCACCTCACACACAGCTTACCTGAGCTGCTGTCTATGTTGTTGGAATAAAACAGAATATCAAAAAATTTTTTATAAAGAAACATTTCTATAGATTTTACTTGGGAGATTTTGCAATATATGTCTGCCTGCCAAAACTCCACAGCCCTGGATCTCAGTCAGCTGCAGCGTCCTAGTGGAAGCTCTCACGTTAACTAGCAGTAATGAAAGGCAGTTGGGCTCCGTCCAGATCGGATCAAAACCCAGCACAGACGCTTCAGAAGCAACTCAGATCAACAATGAAAGTGCGACTGTGACTGGATTTGAAAGTGAGTTTTGGCAGGCAGCGTCTCTCCCCTTTCTCCAGCACTGTGTTACGCCACTGTTTCTTTCAGTGGTACCCAGTAATGGACCGTACATGAATACCTTCAACCCTGGTGATTGTCCTGAAAGTTTTCCGGAAAATTTCTGATGAAAGTTTCTGCCATGCCACATATTCAAGTTATAAACAGAATAGTGGAAAATAACCTAATGGTGAACAAAAAAACATGAAGAGGCCGTTTCATTTCATGCATGGAGATTGCACCATTGGTGTTGCAGGATATGAACGTCATCACTCCATCCTGCTCGTCGTCAGTGAACTTTCCTGAAGTTTTCCTGCTGCATTCATACATTCAACTCAAACTAATTTTAAGAGGAGTTTCTTGTGAGTCTAAAAGCACTTTTTAAGATGTTTTTTTTTTTTACCTCAGTGGAAATGCAGTAAACAGTGGGCCATAGGAACCTATTAGTTCCCTTTAAAAGAAGCCACTGGGACCAAAAAAATAAATTCTGGTAACTTTTGGTGGAAACACAGCATATGATTTTAATTGATTGTCTCTTTAATTCATTTTTTTAGTATGGGACCACAGCGCTGATGGTGGCGTCTTATAGCGGCCATTATGATTGTGCCAAAGAACTGATAATGCAAGGAGCTGACATCAACTATCAGAGAGAGGTATGATTGTAAAACACCTGAATATGCCAGTAGAAACAATACAAACTTGTCTTGACTATAAAGAGACAGTGAATCTCAGATATGGCAGTGAATTTACAGACAACCAAACATATTTGTTAGAATATTTGTATTCAAGCTGTGTTGAATCAAAAATTAAATTGTTTTTTTGCGGTGAGTTACTTGAAGAGTGTTAAACACAACACATGATGATTGGCCCTCAGAATATGTCTGTAAACCAACGGTTGTTGAGGTTGAAATGCAATAACTTAATTGGTATATGAGATTATACCATTTTTTTTAAATGGATTTATGGGCTTATAGCTTTTATTTGGACAGGACAGTGGATACTAAAGTAGGAAATCGGGAGATAGAGTGGGGACTAACATTTCAAACATTTCAAAAGGAGTTGCAGGTAGGACCTGAAATGTGGATACGATTATGGGTTTGATATGATTCCAGTACGATTCAATTCCAGTAAAATCATATTGATAGCTGACACCATAACAACAAAAATAGAAGCCTTAGTCAGCCAGTATTGTGTAAATTCTTGTTTTTAATGACTAAAAGTTGCATGCACACTATCTAAATTGGACAAATACATTAACAACTTGGCAATGCTGAAACATTGTCAATGTATTTGTACAATTTAGACCGCTCTCTCCCTTGCTGCAACTTTTTGAAAAATAAAAATAGTCCTAAACTTTGTAGTTTTCTTAATCTTTGGTACTCTTTGATACTATCCATAATACAAATAACCATATGAAAGGAGGTCTTGTACCAAACTACTTAGATGCCTGATCCAGGAGTAACCTAGGTGACGCGCTTTGCCACAGTTTGTAATCAGCCTTTTGCAAATGATTGGTCGCCACACCTGATTGCAGTTAAAACTCTTTCTTTATTGATCCATAAAAACAACAAAGCTAATTAAAAAAACGTAAAAATGGAAAATGCACAACCTTACACTAATGTCAATTCTCTCACTTGATCAGTCAAAAACATTTTGTCCTTCCAGGATCACACACCTCACCTATACAGTGACTTCCAAAAATGTATACCTGAGCTGCAGTCTTACAGTGACACCCAGAGTCCAACACTACAATAACATGGCAATATAAGAAACCCCTATGTCTTAAGCTCTTACAAATGGTGAATATATCATTTAAACACAGGGTATTAAAAAGTATGTAAGTATTGAAAATGATGACAACCTTAAAGTAGAGGGCTTGTTTTTGAAAGGCAAGACATTGACCTATAAATTAAATAGCTTGTCCATTGGAGGAAAATATGGCAAGCTATAGTCTAAAACATACACTTAATTTTTTTCATCATCTTTTCCAGACAGGTTCCACGGCTCTGTTTTTCGCCTCACAGCAGGGACACCAAGACATCACAAAGCTCCTGTTTGAGTTCGGAGCCTCCACAGAGTTTCAGACAAAGGTACGCAGCAGTGTCGTACATCTGTATGAGAGTGGGTGTGATGGAGAGAGCTGCAGACTGTGAGTCAGAGGGCTTGGTGCCAAACTAGGAGACAAAAAGTATGCGTGATATCTGCTGCTCAGGCTGCTTTTTACACCTCTGTAGATTCTGTATATGTCCTCCATGCAGTATAAAGCAAACATAAATGAATGTGAGCTCTTGTCATTTTTGTTTGTCAGGACGGCGGCACGGCTCTCACCGTCGCCTCTCAGTACGGACACTCCAAGGTGGTGGACAACCTGCTGAAGAACGGAGCCAATGTTCATGACCAGCTCAATGTGAGCGCGTACACATCTTCAGCCTCTTTTAAACATGCCTCCTCTGCCTGTCTGTCCGTGTGTGTGCGTCTTTTTGTGTGTCTGAGAAGAAGAGGAGAGTTAGTTGCACAAAGTGTCTCCGCAGCAGGAATCCAGTCGCTCAGGTTTCTGCGGACTGCTGAGTCAGACATGACTCATTTTTGGCAGGAATAGAGTTTGACTTCAGGACGAGGAAACAATCAGACTGCACAAACAATAACAAACTGCTTCTAACCTTCTTAAAATACAATTTTTGTATTTTGTACTTCTCTAACAAGCAGGAAAGTAAAAACGTGTCTGAAAGTTTGTTTTGTGTGTTTCAGGATGGTGCCACCTCTCTGTTTCTCGCTGCCCAGGAGGGTCACATAACTGTGATTCGTCAGCTGCTTTCATCCGGTGCCAAGGTTAACCAGGCCAGAGAGGTAATGACCTCCATGTTTAATGGACACAGCTCACATCTCCTTTTCAACATCCCTACAGGTTATCTCAATCCTGCATCAGCTCGACCCTCTCTTGTCCTTTCTCCCTTCTTCTCCTCTGCTTCTCTCATGTTCTGCAGGACGGCACTGCCCCCCTGTGGATGGCGGCTCAGATGGGTCAAAGTGAGGCGGTGAAGGTGCTTCTCTTACGTGGAGCAGATCGAGACGCTGACAGACAAGTATGCAGGCATATCAGAGCTCGTAAAGTTAATAAACTTGTTATTTTTAGGATAAATTATTTGTGTCTTTGAGTGCCTTTGCCTTTACTTTCTTCCAGAAATGTTTAAGTATTGACTGCACTTTCAGAAAGCCTGTTGCTATTTAATTCGTGTTGTGTTTAAGGACCTAGTACATGTGATTAGGTAACAACTGCAGGAAGAGTTCCACAGTTTACGTTTGATCGTAGTAATGCAACAGTTTGAATTCAAGGTCTGTTGAGTTTGAGCTTTGGATTTTTTCAGCATTTCTTCAGGAGATAAAGTGATGAGCAGTTTTCTTTTTTTTATTATTATTCTGAGCACTTTAAAGTGTTAATGTGTGAGTAAGAGTCTTGTGTCAAGAGTTATGACTGAATTGTTTTAACTGCACGCATGAACAAGAAACTTGAAAAACACAGACTCACACAGGCACAGTTTCTGAAATCACATATCTGGGGAATTCATCCAGTAAACTTAAAACCAGATGGTCAGAGGAGATAGCAGGTCTAGCTTCTTGCTATTTTGCATAAGTTTCACTTTGACTTGTCAACAATCGGACATTGAACATTTGTATGTATCTGTTCCTGAAACGTTTCTGATGTAGAAACCGAGCTGTTTCAGACAGCGACAGTTACATGGGGACTTTTTGCTTATTAGTGGAGTTATAGATACAAACTCTAGATAAATGTGTAAAATACATCTTTGCAATATCATGACACAAAAGTAGGAAATATGGCAGGGTGCTGTGAAACTGCACCTACTCTGGGCATCAAAAGTTGCACCCAAGTGTAAAAAAGGGCTGAAGAGATAGTAGGACACCAATTAAACTGGGCTAAAACAGACTGAGATAAATACAAATTAGTCACTCTAGGTGTTTTTGTGCCATGATTAGATAGGACAGCTGAAGACAGACATGGAATGTTTGGAGGAGCTAGTGGGTGATGACCTGCGTCAAAGGGCAGAGGCCGGACTTGAACCCGTTACTTTTGATTAAGACAAAAGCATCAGGTGCTCACAGTGAAAAAAGGTGAATCCAAACAGTGACATTTGTTACTGTTTTTATTCACAGGTTTGCACTGTGACCACCTCATGTAAACATAAGCAGTCATGTTTTTTTTTTTTATGTGTCTTTTACCTGATTGTGCGTATGCATGCTTCTGCATCACCTGGCTGAATGTCTGCTATGTGATGTCTTCAAAAGCCACAGAGCAGGTCAGTAAGAGGACCTTTGAGTGATGATGTAAAATAATTAAATGCCATCTATGTTTTCTCCTAAGGATGGATCCACGGCGTTATTCAAAGCAGCTTTAAAGGGACACAGCGGCGTCATCGAGGAGCTCCTCAAGTTTTCTCCTTCTCTCGGCCTTCTAAAGGTAGACGATGCTGCAGTTTGTTTTTCATGAAGGGAAAGAGTTTCATGAAACAAAAAGAAAGATAACACTCTTATTTCTGCAGGATTATAATAGAGCCCCTGCTAGGGAAAACGCTTGTGGCCAGTGAAAATATAATTCCCTCAATAAATGTGTCATTTTGGCGCTTGCTGTTTTTTAAATTGATACAAAAATATCTGGTTGATAATAATTGTAAGAGGAACAGGTAGGTGTTTACTGAACATGAGAGACATCAGAGTTGTTTCAACCTCCTCATCAGAGTCTGACCGAAAGTAGCTCTTGAAAAGTCTAACTTTCCAGCTCTGGATAAAGAGCAGGTTTATGTTTAGTGATAAAGTTGTTTAGTGATCAACACAACACTGTAAGCATTAAGAACACATGTAGTTTTGTATTGGTTGTCTGCAGAACGGATCCACCGCCCTTCATGCTGCTGTTGTGGGAGGAAATCTACGATCTGTTCTGCTGCTGCTGGGAGCAAATGCAGACCCAAAGCTGCCAAACAAGGTGAGACACAAATCATTGAAGGAGGAGAAGATGAACAGACAGAACAGAAGCAGAGAACTCGAGCTGCTAAACTTTCTCTCGTGTGTTTCTGCAGAATAATGAACTCCCTGCAGATCTTACAAAAAACGACCGCATCCTGAAACTTTTACAACCAAAAATGTTGAACGTTGACAGTTGATGACCGCTGTGAGCCTGCTCTTCACGCCTGCCTGTAGCACACTGATGAGGGAGAAGAAAACAACGACAAATCTACAACACGTACTGTACGTGGTGCCTGTTAATTCAAATAAATCTGTAAAATGTTGAATAAATGGACTAAATCCAGAGCAACACAATGTGAAATGAATTCCTTCTTCCCTGTGCGTCTTCACCCTCCACGATAAATGCCTTATTTCTACCCTGGGTGTTGTCAAATATTACAGATATTTTGCAAACTTTTTCTTTGTCTTCCTTTTGAATAGATGTACAGTAAGTGTAAATGAATAAAGTCTAAATATTCAACCAATAAGTGTTAAGTGTGCATGTGTATTTAATTTTTCATTTCATGTTATGTGTTGCTCTCACTGTAATCTTCACAGTCTTTTGTAAAAGAAAAAGATTTACAATTTGATCACTATTTGGAAAGAAGCAGGGAGAAGACACATCTTATTTTGTGAGCTCCTTTCCTCAAAATACACATGAACAATAGACGTTCATTCAAATTATTATTTCTTAACAAGCAATATTTAAGAAACATAGAAACAAAAACTACGATAATTGATACGGAAGTGGGATAGAACAAAGCATTAGAATTAAATAATGAGAGGAGAAAGATTTTTTTTATGTTTTATGCCTGGCCCAGATCCTCCTCTGTAGTACAGCAAAAGAAAAAGAATACTAATCAAATTCAAAGTCTTTGACTACATTTCCCCATGAAAAAAATAAAAATAAACACTAGCTGACAGTTGCATAGAGTCTAATGATTCTTTCTTTATACAGTTTCTTAAACTGAAATATATTATAGCTCTTCAAATTATCAGGTAGAAAATTCCACAATTTGATATTAAACCACAGAAACACATCTGCTTTAAAGTTATCCTAATATGTAATTTCCTCCTGTGTTTACAACTTTTGAGAATTTGCTGGTCATACTCTGCTTTTTGCCTTGTATGTTATTTAACTAAATCTTTATGTTTTATAATCCTGCTTTAAAATGCTGCCTGTTGGTGTGCTCTCTGTAGTCCACTTGCAGTACGTGTTGCCCCCAATTTTCAAATAGTAACTTAGGAAGTTTAATGTTTAAGGATGGAGTCACTTTATTTCATAGTCATTGGCATGTCATAAATTGCAGGAAAACTCCTGGTAACAGTCTAAATTTTACAAATATGTATGTTCATATTACCAATGTATTGGTGCATGGACTGTGTTAGACTGTGTAGTTTATCTGAGAAAGAAGATAGGCCCGCACACTTGCTCAATTTTGATAAATTATCACGTGAAGAAGACCTCTGGTCGAAACGTAGTGTTGAGATCATTAAAACCCCCTTTTTTGCGGCAATTGAGCAAGTGTGCGGGCCTATCTTCTTTCTCAGTTTTGCTATTTATGCACTGCCCTGCACCTATACGTGATGTTCATATCTCTTTTTTTAGTTTAGTTTACCTGCAATATCTGATGGAGTCATTATGAAATATATGTGTTTTTTTTAAGCTTTGGTGCTTTTCAATAAATTGATTTATTAAAATAAAAAAAGATGTATTGTTAGTTTTAATAGATTTTAGTTTTAGTTTAGTAATTGAGATTTACTGTATTTTAGACTTTATAATTAAAGTTAAGCTCTATGTAATAGTTATTGTTGAATATATTGAATTTTACAAACGCAAAACAATCAATCCAAACATAAGCTTCCTGTTATTTACTTTGAACCATTATTAAACAGTATAACCTACAATCATTTGAAATATGTAATCTATAAATATAACCTCACAGCAGCTGTTCCAGATGACAATAACGTGACGTCACGGTACTATCCCGGAAGTGACAGAGCCTTTATGTTGACGCGGAAGTGAGACGATGTTTGTGTGATTGAAGTTGTTTTAAAGTAAACTTAGTGGTAGAAAGAGGTAAAAAAAACAGTTTAAAGTTTTATCAAAAGCGAGTTAAGTTTGAGACACACAACAAACCTGATGGCAGGAGGTAATTTACAGGTGAGTGTTAAACTTTTTACTGAGCTAACAAATAGCCGTCCGGTTATATAACACTGAGGCTTTATTTATAATACTGTCAGATTGTGGATGTCTTTTTTAAATGGGTATTTCGGGGTGTAAGGTTTATTTATTTATACTGTAGCGTCTTTTAAAAAATCGTCAACAGGGATACGTAACAGCATGCATAAATAAGTATTATTTTAATGCAAAGTGTCGAAAGTAAAAAGCCTACATTTCTGATTTAATACAATGATTTGAAAGCGAATAACATGCTTTCAGAAGAGGTGTTACTGCTTTGTTTCAAACCTTTTACAAGAGAGTTACATCTTAAAGTGTCCTCAGCATCTTCTCAGTAACTCAGATTACTTCAGGACAAATCCAACAGGGTGAAAAATAGTAACTTTGTATTATTGATGTATTCTTGTTTTTATGTGTTAGTGTTTCTTGTAACTGAATCCATGTGTTTTTTGCTCATTTCATTTCCCCTCGGGTAATAAAGTTTAAAGTTTTTGTGTAAATGGAAAAAAAACTGGCAACCCTTTTAATTTCCAAGTAGCAGTCAGCTTAGAGAGCCAGTCCAGGCTGCCTTTTGGAGCCAGTTGGTTCAGGGGTCTGATTAGGATGCCTCCTGGTCGCCTCTCTTATGAAGTCTTCAAGGCTAGTCTAAAGTGGGTGGAGACCCTGGGGTATACTCAGGTTCCCCCAGGACGAGCAGGAACATTTTGCTTGGAGAGGGACGCTGGGATGACTTAGCCTCCTGCCATCTAAGCAGAAGAAAACAGATGGATGGATGGATGGACTTTTCCAATTTCCTTCAGCCACATGCTACACGTTTTAGTCTGTAATGCCATGGGGATATATCCCCTTTAAACTTCCAATTTAATGATTTACACCCTAAAAAACTATTTCAAGTCTAGAGAATGAGCACTAATAATTATCATTCATAAAGATGATGTTCCTGATAACAGTCTTGGATACTTACTTTACCTCTGCTCCTACACTGCCTAATTGTGTTAAGCTACTATGAAGCTTCATGAAATAATTTTATGGATTACAAATAAAAAAACAAGTAGCAATTCAGTTCGAGCAAACATATTTGTAATATTTCTGACACAACTATGACCGAAGAGAAAGAAAAACCAGGCAAATTAAAAGTGTGTTAACCTTTTCAAATTAAAGTGCATGTGTAAATGTAAAGTATCTACTTCTAAAACTTATGATGAGTTGGTTTCTTATCCTTCCTGTTGTCTTTTCGCAGAAAGCTATCGATCTCGCCACCAAAGCTTCAGAGGCGGACAAAGCCAAAAACTATGAGGAGGCTCTCAGATATTATGAGAGCGCAGTGCAGTACTTCCTGCATGTTGTCAAATGTAAGCCGCTCGTATAAGTGTTTGATTTGTGTGTTTTTATTGTCTAACGTTCACTTTTTCACAGTTTGAAGGAGCTTTTGGTTAAAAATACGATTGAAGATCTGAAGTACTTTCTAATCTTTGGTCCTTTTTGATGCATTCGATCATTAAAATAAGAGCTTGTATTGTTTTAAAACAAGTGAAATTAAAACCTCTGCCAACATACATGAATCTAAGCTCCATGCTGTGTGGCTTTCAGACGAGGCTCAGGGCGAGCGAGCTGCGCAGAGCATCAGAGTAAAGTGTGGCGACTACCTGGACCGAGCGGAGCAGCTGAAGGAATACCTGAGGAAGAAGGAGAAGAGTCCTCCAACCAAACCAGTCAAAGAGTCGCAGTCTGGTGACAAAGGGTGAGACTCATCAGTGACACTGTACGATTAGTTGTCCTGGTCCTGGTTGTATGTTGAAGATTCAGGCTCATGTGAAGGTTTGTCCTGCAGGTCTTTTGATTACTTTTTAAAGTTTGCTACTTATTAGTGGGGAACTAAAGACAAAGTTCAGTCTGGGACTGTTGTGTTGTTTTTAGAGACATGTGGAATGAATAAGTCCTTTTGACATTCAGTTTTACTCAAAAACAGAATTGTCTGTATTTTTCTCTTCGAACAAATTAGTTGAATTGATTTCCTTTTTTAAAAAACTTCAATACTTACCTCCTTGATTAATGTCTGGCAGTTTTTTTTCTTCTATGTCTTTGCTGCTGTATTTGTATGTACATTACCTCCAACTTTAGAAACGGGGATTAACGTAAAATCCATTTTCAGAAATGTTTATTATATGCCTATAGATCTTATAGAAAACGCACTGCTAGGACACAAATCTTAGCAAGTAAATTTACTTAATGTAAAAATCTGGTCATGTCAGGTGAATGTGGCTTATATTACTCAATCCTCGATACCACGTCTGCAAATGGTCCATAACGCGGCAGCTAGGTTGTAAACAAAAGCTGGTCATCAGTCTCAACAACTTACAGCTCAGTTCAGAATCCATTTCAAAATTGTACATACAAGGCCCTGAATGGCTTGTCTCTGGTGTACATAACAGATTTACTGAGTCCTTATTTAAGCAGCTTCCCTCTCAGATCATGTATTCACAGACTTTTACCTGTTCCTCGCTGATATTTTAAATTCAGGTGATCTTGCGTTTGCAGTAGCAGCTCTTAAACTCTGAAACAGTCTTCCGCTTAACATACGCTCTGCTGAATCCATAGTTTCTTTGAAACCGCTGCTAAAAACTAAATTTTAAAGGTCAACATTTTTCAATTCTGTCCTTCTGTGCCTTTTACTTAAGTTTGAATGTATGCTGATCTGTGTTATATGTTTGTATGTGTGTGTTCTCGTCCACCTGTCCTTGCTCTGTGACTACGTGTATCACTATATAATTAAAGTTTATCAATACGTAAATTTTTGCAGTGTGTGACTGAAAATTCACCTTGAAGTTACTCACTGCTTTTGTACCGCCTTTTGGAGCTCTTAAGTTTGGTTTTGTGGCTGTTGCCATGTTGGTTTTTTGGATGCAGAAGGGAACATATTTGGATGAGACGGTGGAGAAGGAGAGGAGTTAGCGTTTCCTGACGTTATCTGCGTCTGCACTCACCATACATGGCTTGTTAACCTATATAAGAATCAGCCCTGGGCACAGACAGTAAAGCTGAGATACCTTAATGTTTGCTGAGCTCCAACCTGTATTCCAGTATGGTCACTTCTGGCTTAAAAACAACAAGAACACGATGACAGCCTCAGAGCCAAACTCAGACTTAAAAAAGGCAGTTAAACCTAATGCAAGGTGTTGTCTTTTGATTTTTCAGGGATGAAAACGGGGACGAGGGGGATGAAGAGAAGAAAAAGTTCCAGAATCAACTCTCAGGTAAAAGATGCTTTCACGACTCGCTACGTTTAATGACCACATCGGCAGGCAA